CCACCTTTTAAGATACATCTTTTTTTTAGCTTTATTTGGGGTTTTTTCCCAAAAATATTGCTTCTAATGTAAAATAAAAATAATAAAGTACTGATGTACGCACTAGAGCTTGTCCAAGAGACAAAATACCTGCCAGTAATGTTGTGAGGGTCCATTGTAACGGAGAGTTGTAAGCACCCTTCAAAGCTGCAAATGGGTTACAATCCCTATTACAATCCCAATGGCTCGCTTTTCTTTAGTCGGACAGACAAGGTACATTAACCATGAAGCAACCACTGTGCAGTTAAGGAGAAATGGTAGTCAGAGCCACTAAAGACTGGCGACATGAGAAAGACTAAGGCGCTGTTAAGCAACCGCTGTGAAGAACTGCAGCACTGACATGTCTTAACCTGGCTTTTCCAAAAACCTACCTCGATATAAACAGAAATAACATATTATGTTAACGTATACCCATTTTGGCAGTTGCTTGGTGGCCTTTTCTTAGGCTCCTGGTCACTGTTGTGAATGTTGAAAACACATGAGCAGTAAAGATAGGAAAAAGGAACTAAATGAAAATGTGTGTCATGGGGAAGTGTTTTTATGACAACTGCTTCCCCATGAAACCTTGGATTTATTTTGGATATGAAATGTTAGTCATACAGCCTCTGGTTTAATTGTATCCCTAAATCATCCAAATCAGTCCAGAGAAGGAAAGGCATACTGTAGATGTTTCTGGATGTTCTCATAACATTCAAAAAACATAAACCAATTTAAGCCTATCCTGCAGTTAATATGCAAATTGTCACCCGTAGGTGGTCCCCATCACATTGCCCCCCACTACACTCTATCCCGAGCAGGGCCGGTTAACATTACGCCTTGCCTTTATTGCCCCACCTTCTGCAATCAACAGAACTAATGGCAGATGATGCTTTGGCAGTATAACCTACCATCTACCTGTCCTTGAATTAGGAGCACTTAAGTGTATTGCGGCTTAAAGTGCATGAGACATAATTTCTCTCTTTTTCCGCAGTTCAAGCCTCATGTGACAAGAAAGGCTTTTTAGCTGATCACTTGGCGTTCAAGGACACCGGGACAGAGACTTGTTTCATCATGCAATCGCTCAGTGAGCCGCCTCCTGTTTAGGTTTTCCTGAGCTTTCTTGTTTTGTGTGGTTGCATTTGGATATGTCCCTGTACTGTATGAAAGCACTCGTTTAAATAGTTAAATGATGGCTGTATGTCATTTAGAGGCTTCAGTTCATGGGGGATGTTCATGCCGGATCATTGTGACACTGGGAGGGTTTGCTAGGAAAAGGGTTTGCTTTTCCTACGATGACAAGGCCAAATTATTTCTGGGAAAAGGATATAAGGTAAACAAAAATAACATGAGTTGAACTCTGATTCTGCCGAGACTTAGGTTTAGATTTTTCTGTTACATCATAAATATCTCTTTGTTACTGTACTCTGTTTTGATGGATATGTGTACCCTAGAGGGAGACATGTATGTTTTATATGGTTAGGGTTAGGGTTAGCAACAGTCATACAGCAACAGGAGGCACACAACCCAGAAAGCCAACATTTATTTTCTACAAAGCCACAGGTCTGAGTGGTTTGAACAAGCTACCAAATAAACATCCACTGGATAATAGTGCTCTACTAATGTCAGCAAAAAAGTGACTGGGTCATCCGGGTATCATAAGAGTAATGGCGCAGAGCAGCATTCTCGGTTTATCCCATCTTCAACAAAGCACAGATTACTATCAAACAAATGATCCCCTCCAGATATACTGTTTATTTCGCTCTCACTGTTTTTGTTACATCTATGGCCAGTGCACAAGCAATGACTCCCTTGTTGCTTATTTTTTGGAATAGTGTTTGTTTTCCATTTTCAGAGCCAGGGCTGTGTAAAAAGCAGATTAATTTTGAGGAGATATGGTCATTTTAACGTTAGTCGTTTCCAAAAGTCTTATATTTTGTGTCCATATAATATATCACATTGTCTGAAAATAACATAACATAGGCATAATGATGTTTATTGCAATTGTATTTCTTTACAATATAGCTCATATTTAAATTACTATGCTCTTAGTTTTTAATTACAGTACTTCTGAAATTATTAATTTGAAAGAAAAAATATATATCTTTACAATTCCATCTATCTCCCGGCCACATTACAGACCATGTCAGTAACAACATGAACTAAATCTAAGAGATCATTTCACTTGTCGTTCGTTTAATGTATATCTCCTGATAAGGTTGTTAATCAAAGCTCCATGTGTGGTGCAGTAGGAGAATACAATGTGAGGAGGAGAGAGTTGGGCCTACGACCATGGCATTGGTCTGAACTGCTGACTCAGCAGGAAAAACTCCCACTGATCTCCTTGTACCTCCCAACAGCTCATTTAAGCACCGCTCACTCCCTCCTCGCCCACCTGCATGCTGGGAAATTGATTTTGGATTGCTTGTGTGAGGACTTTGCTTGGTGGGACATGCATATACTAGTATGTCGAACTCTGTAATACATTCTGAACGGACTAATCGCTGAATAACAGGTATTGGCCATGTTACAAAATCAATAGCAAATGAACAGTGTAATGTGAATACATCTGTTGTGTTGGTTCTAAATGCTGATGCAGTGTGTGTGGATGACAGCTTGGTTTGAATATAGAGAACGGTGGGAAGAATCTCCTTGTCTTGATGATCTGATTCTTAAGAAATTCCATTCTTTCTTTTTGTTGAAACAGAGTTGGGCGAGAGAAAAGAAGCAAAATCAATATTGCTCTGTCATGGCTCTCTGACTCAGAAACCGAGAATTAAACTGTTTTGAGAAAACTGATGGTTGAAGGTACATGGTCAGTCGCTCCTCAGTTTTTCTCATTGTGGATGTTTGGTCCAAGGAACAAAAGTATGCCTGGAAAGCCTAATGTGTTAACCCTTTTGAGGTCAAAAAGGACATCACAGCACTTCTTACAACTGCATGAACACGTTTCCCTATTAGTTTTTGCCACACTGTAACATAAGAGTGACATTTATAATGAAAGGAAAGGAAAACAATGTAATGGTTACCTCAAGTTTAAAGGGGCCCAATTATGCTCTTTGGGGTTCCCCCTTTCCTGTAGTGTGTTATAAAGGTTCTTTGTGCAGGTAAATGGTCTGCAAAGGCTAACAGTTTCTTCCCCCCCCCCCACCCCTCCTCGATTGAACTCCTTTGTTTACTTCCGTAACATAGCGACATCACTATGTACCCACGCTTCTATTGGCTCGCGCTCCAACACATTGTTCGTGATAGGCTAAGGGGCAGGTAATCTCCAAGCGGGTGGACCAATCACGACCAGCAAACCAATCGGAGCAGACTGTGCTCTGGTTTCAGATTCAACAATTGATTGAATTGTTATTACCTATAATGAATCTAACTTTAACCTTTAAACAAGTATGGAGTAGAATATTAACGGAACAAATGTGCTTTTGAACTTTTCTTCCCACCTCAGCTGAATCAAGCCAACAGACTTTCTTTTATGAACCCAAACCAAAGTTGAATCCCCCGTGAAGTGCGTCCCAGTAAAGGCAGCAGTGTTTGTCTTTGAGCTCTAATTGTCCCGCTCAGTCATCACCTTGATGGCAGATCGTTGTTTTGCAGCTTATCTAAAGGGACTGCCTGTTCTCTGCTGCCTGCTCCAATATGCTCTCATTAATCTTCCTTACAGCCTTCATTAAAGCCGCCACTGCTACACCCATGCTCGCTCTGCAGGCTTCTATCTCCTGCTTAATGCCTATCTCCTTGACCTTTATCTCTGCCCAGCTTGCCTTCCTTAATCTCTCGTCCTAATGCCCACGTCTTATCTCTTTCCCTCTTCTTTTTATTTTATTTTGCCTCCCTTTCTTGTCCTCTTTATACACTTTGTCTAGCAGCTCCAAAACTGTACATGTGTTGTACTTATTGCAAAAACTCCTTGCAGCAGTCTGCCATTTCTCAAGTGGCAGTTCGTTCTTGGTTTGTAGTCGACTCAGACTAAAAAACTTTTTTTTAGAGGATTATGTGTTTTTTCGCTGGCTCTGTGTTGATGTTGAAGTTTCTGCCACTGATCCTCTCAACCTCTATTTCTGTCTGCACACACTCCAAACTTTAGAGAGGCTAAACTCAGCTGGTTAGCTGAAGATCATGACTCAATTGTCCCTTTATCTCAAGATAGAATCAATGGCAACAAGAACGTTTTTTTCGTGAGCTTGTTATTCTTAAATATATTCTTTTACTTTCTGCAACTGGCTTTTTTAGACTTATTATGACCTAAGAAAAAGTTGCATTTATGTTCTCTTCTATTTTCCCTCTAAGGCATTGCAAAAAAAAAACTCTGAATAGACTATGAAGTTGCTCACATTTAGTGTTAAGCCAAAAGTAGAGGAAAACAAATGGTATGGGGTATATGCTAGGGCTGCTCAATTAATCGTATTTTAATCGCAATTACGATTTGAGCTTGCAACGATTATGAAAACAACATAATCGAAATAAAACGATTAGTTTATTTTGTATTGGTTTTTCAGTTGAATTATACTTAGAGTTCAGGGTAATCAACTGTTTTTTTCAATAAATGGATGTTTTCAAAGTAAATGAATAATCGTTTTTAATAATCGTGATATCAATTATTGACCCAAATAATCGAGATTATGATTGTTGCCATAATCGTGTTCGAAAGGATGTAAACTTTTTAAGAAAAAGTTAATACAAATCCCCAAAGCAGACCGGCCAAGATGACAATAATGTGTTTGCCAAAAGAAGTAAATAAAAACGTTTTCTAATTAAAATTACTCCAGGTATGTTTGCCACATATTAAAGATATGCAAAATTGCACTCAACTCAAATCAGACAAACCCCCCCAGGACACGATGCATAACTTCCAATCATAAACACAAGAGAGTAGATAATGAAAAAACTCTCTATTAAATGTAAGTTACTTAAATAAAAGAGGTACTAAAGTTTATGTAGAGAATGTGAAAAATAAGTCAAGTTGTGTCTGCTGTTTTCAGGTCAGCAGGTTCTGGGTCTGGTGGAGAACCAGAGTGACTGGTACCTGGGGAACCTCTGGAAGAACCACCGGCCGTGGCCAGCTCTGGGCCGGGGCTTCAACACTGGTGAGTCCAGAGGACGTTATGTTCTCATGGTAGCATGGTCGGGCTGTATGAAACGGTTTCCCTGTCCTTACTTATAAGCGCAATTAATGCGAAGCTCTTGATTTTTGAGTATGCTTGAAGTATGAAAAAATATCCAGAAAATTAAGCATTGCCAGGAAGATCTCAAACCATTGGCAATCACTTTTCTAAAGACATTATTTTTTCACTTCACACTGGAACAGGAACAGATTTATATTTAAATCTGCACACATTTTGATGCTAAGCTTTGTGTCTTCCTGACTTCCAATTGGCAGTGTGGATCAACCATTATCAACTAAAAGTGTTTACTTTTCAATGTTCCAAACAAACCTTTCATACAACATGTTTTTGTAGAGTGGACCTTCTACAACCTACAGCTTTTGTGGCAGGATATTACAAACGTTTTACATGGTAGTGTACATCAATGGACATTGTATGTACATTTCCTGCTCCTATTGTGACAGTATATTTAGTAAATGTATTGCATTTAAACACATTAACATTTACTGTAAGGATTTCATTCCTCTTTATGTATCCAATATATCCATCTGTAATAATCAGAAAACTTTATGTTGGGTTTTGTTGTTCAATTTTAAAATGAAATCAAATAAAAGATACATTTAAATTAAGAATGTACTATTGAAAGATTAAATGAAATACACATATTTAAAGAATATGAGTTGGATACACATTTCCAATAAAACATCAAACAAATAAATAAAAAATATTTATACAAACATAAAAAGTTAGGCTAAAAATGTGCATTTAAAATGTTTTTTTATTATTGCAGTTTTCTGTGTTCCTTTTTTTCCATTCATTTCAGAGCCTCACAGTAAAGTAGAGCAGCAGTGAGGCAGTTTTGTTTCTTCAAAAGTTGTGTGGAAAAACATTTTCTAAAAAGCCGACAGTAGAATTGATTGAATTCCTTTACACCATGTTATTATTTTCACCTTGCTTATATATATTTTCCCCCTCAAACCCAGCAGGAATTCTCTTTCAGAAGACTTATAACTCTCTGTTGTTTGGAGCTGGAGGATTATAGTTCTATTGGCCACAACAAACCGCACAACCTGCTGCCGACGCTCTGTAGATTTCCTCCTGAACACCTTCATTTTGTTCACTGCTATGCCCTTACTGTTAAATTCCTGTTATTGTGACTTAACAGCAGTTCTCAGAAAAAGAAAGACATTTTTTACATCAACACAGAAGAGCAATTTGACAAAAAAAAACTCCAATTCAGCTGTGGTCAGTCAGCTTCGTGGCCACGGCAACAGATGGAGCTCAGCAGGGTGCGAACGATTTTCTGCTCCACAAAAAACATCCACCATATTTCCTCCGTCTAAAATTGGCTGCTTGATTTTATTTGTACCAGCCCAGAAGATTTATTGTATCAGCCAGGGAACTGAGAAGAAGATGCTTTTGATTTTTAGTCAAGAAAAAGTTAGAATTCTTTGTGTGTCCCCAGGAGGATATGAACCTGTTTTCCCATTCCATGACGGTCAGTCTTTAAGTTTTAAATCTGCGGCTTTATCTCAGAAAACACAGGGATGAGATTTAGAGCCTTGTGATTGGACGTTATCACCTTTAGCAGGCAGCTAGATACGGATCTCTCTGTTCTTTAAGATATTGCTTTCTGCACGCTTTTCAGGGGTGATTTTGCTTCTGCTGGATCGTCTGAGGAAGCTGAGATGGGAGCAGATGTGGAGGCTGACTGCAGAGAGGGAACTAATGAGCATGCTGTCCACCTCCCTGGCAGACCAGGTAACACACACAGACACATACCTTTAGACATAACTCAAAATGAACCGTTTCACATGGACAAATCACAAAAACATCTGTACTGGTTGTGGGAGTTTGACCAAACATTCAAAGGGGATATATATTATATAGTTATATATGTATAACATTGGGATTTTAGCCTTTGCAGACCATTTACATGCACTAAAACCTTTTATAATACACTTCAGGAAAGGATAAACTCCATAAAGCATTATACGGCCTCTTTAAGACCGTGCCCCTGCTACCTGAACATGAAGTTAAACTGAGCTGCAGTAAAGTGCTCAAATGCTTCAAATGAAGTACTGCTTACAGCTTGTTATCCAGCTGCGTCTAAAGGTCAAACCACTTCTGCCTGTTGTGTATGCCAGCACTGGAAAACATGGTGTAAAACATGCTGTCAGCCTCCTCCGGGCTGCACCACACATCAAACAAAAGGGGATAAAACGGTACACCTTTAAACACACTCTTATATTTCCAGCATGTTACACTCACTTGTCCACTAGAAAACTGACGATGGGAATTAGTTTGAAGAATGAACATTTTTTAAAAGTCAAAGCCCTCAATACTTTCCAACCTCCCCACACTTGACTAATCTTTCTTGTAAAAGTGGGAGTGGTTGTTTGGTTTTTGAAAGTCACAAGAACGGTCAAAATGCAGCCCCCAATTTCCTTTCTGGCTCAAAGGTGGGCGGGGCATGAGGTTTCAGAAGATATCCAATGATCTGACAAGCATTTCGAAGCAGACTGACTCCTTATAGAGGCCCTGTTATGCTTTTAGGGGTTTTCCCTTTCCTGTAGTGTGTTGATATATTTTTGTGTGCATGTAAATGGTCTGCAAAGGCTAAAATCCCAAAGTTCCCCCTGTCTCATTTGAGACAGAGGGTGAAAAGAGGTGCTTTAGCATGGGCGGTATGAGAAAAATAAAGGACCTTTTTGAACATTAAAGCATGGAAACATGTCACAGGAGAGACACTAAATACAGATATGAACCTGAACATTAGCGTAATATGGCCCCTTTAAAGTACACTTTATCCATCCCAGTTGAGAGTACCTGTAGGTCATAAATATATTTATCTTAAACTATGCAGAATTCTATGTGTAACAAGTATTAAGGCAAGACATTGAGACCTTGGAGAAGGGTCTCTTCATTATCTGGGAGCTATTCAGAGCTCATCTAGATGAGAGGTGCGTTTATGAGATTTTAATTAAAACTTCATTAGGATAGTCCCGCAGGGTATGCAGTTTGGAAAATGAACAGGGTTTTTGCAATAGCTTGAGCATTCCATCTGCATTTTGCTGTATGAGCTCCTCCAATGGACTGGCAGCCATCTTTATCACAGCATTCAGAGAGTTTTATGTCTGTAATTACCAAGCTGGAATCTGTCACTCAGACTTTAGTCTTGTCAATCTGAATGTCCCGAAGTCAAAAAAGTCTTAACTAAATGTAACAAAGGACTAAAGGTAAGCTCAAAGCAATTTGAAGCATTCAGCTTTACGATGACACAGGCTTTAAGGAATTAAAGCCTGCACATCTGGAACATCTGGGGACGTACAAAACCCTTACTAAAGAGAAGAGTCAGGAAGAAAACGTCTCTATCCATAACTAAATAATGATTGATGATCTGTTATCTTTGGAAACTGTGTGCGCATATATTTGGACCGTTCATAAATAGGTGGAAAAAATAAAGAGCATAATAAAATATTAGATTTGTATAGAAAAATGATAATAAAGTATGAAAGACATGTTCAGATATTTTCTTTATGTATGCATACATATATATATATATATATATATATATATATATATATATATATATATATATATATATATATATATATATATATATATATATATATATATATATATATATATATATATATATCAGAATACTTAATGATAATTTGTCATGGAGGAAATTGGGTTTCGTGACATTAGCTCCATTTTAATATTAATTTAATAAAATATAAATAAAAAATAATGTATATGTTTATATTCGTGCAAATAATCAAAAATGTGTACATAAACAAAGGAAGTAAAAGTGTGAAAGATCAAATTGTGTGTGTGTGTGTGTGTGTCCATAGGACATCTTCAACGCTGTGATCAAACAGAACCCGTTCCTGGTGCACCAGCTGCCCTGCTTCTGGAACGTCCAGCTGTCCGACCACACCCGCTCCGAGAAGTGCTACAAAGACGTGTCGGACCTCAAGGTGAGCCCCTGCTGTCCCCAATATGCTCACACTCTGTCACACACACACACACACACACACAATACCTGACCTACATTATTCAGGAGTCCCAGCCAGCCACACACTGCGGACCGCACACTGAGAGGCAGAGTAAAAGCATTATGGATTATGTTAGCCTTGTAAAACGTCATGTCTTTTCACGTTCTAGGAGATGTGTAAAAAGCCTGTTATTCCCTGTTATGCAGCATGTTTGATGCATGTGTGACAGACTGTTTCAAAGATATATTTGATTATGCTTAATGGCTCAATCTCAGCAGTTTTCCCCAAAATAAGTGCCCAAGTGGAAGCAGGGATTAGTCTCCCTGACATCTGCCCACATTTCGATTGGCCTCCATTACACAGCAAAGATACAACAGCAATGATGTGGGTCACAATGCCTGCCGATGTTTTATTGGCTTTGTCTGTGTCACAGCTCGTTTAATATCAAGCATAAATTAGACTTCCTTTCAAATGAGTCGATATTAACAGTATGGATTAATGAGTCTTGATGTTGTCAAATTCACCGAGCAGAATTGACACACAGTTAGAGCAAGGGAACAGCCAAATTAACAAATGACAATGTTATGTTACGTCAAATACCGATAACAAAAACTATAAAGGAATACATACTCTTACTTCACTCGGTGGAAACTGATAGAAAAGCAGGTATGCAGTTATTTTTGTTCAATGTTCTGCTTTTTCCCGGCTGAACTTATTAACTAATGCCTTGGAGCACCCACATGTCATCAATCAATCAAAGTTTATTTATATAGCCCAATATCACACATGTTACATTTGTCTCAGGGGACTTTAGAGTTTGTACAGGACTCTTTTATCTTTTAATATTCTTTGGCATGCTTCTCGAGTGATATTAAGCTGTCTTGACTTTAACTCTTTACCTGCTGTAACAAATGTAAATGCAAATTGCCCCTCTGTAAGATGAATAAAGGTATTCTGAATATGTATGCGACCCCCTCTGTCATTAGATAGATGTGATGCTATGCTCTCATATTTATTGTATTAATATTTTATTGTTACTTTGTATGAAAACAGTTAGGATCAGACCCATGGTTTTGCTGTTGTAGAAATCAAAACATCTAAATATCGGCGGTTTAAGGTGCTCTTTGGATTCAGGATTTCGTGTAACAACGAACAGCAACCTCATCACTTCCATGTTCTTTTTCGATGGTTGTATTTGGAGACAATCTTTAAAGTGTCATAAGTCAAAGAAAAAGTGAGAAGCTTGATGCCAGACTTTAGCAAGTTAGTCTATCCAATGTTTGAATGGTTAAAATGTTTCCTTTCCAAATGTTCCCTTGACAGTTCCCTAAATCCTTGAACCAGGATGTTTATGATTTGATGGGATGCAACTGGTTTACTGGTTGGTGCTTTACAAAGAAAAAAGGACCCAGAAAACCTTTGTCACTGCTTTTCTGTCTGTGTTTCTTCTGCCCAGGTGATCCATTGGAATTCCCCCAAAAAGCTGCGAGTAAAGAACAAGCACGTGGAGTTTTTCCGGAATCTCTACCTCACCTTTCTGGAGTACGATGGCAACCTGCTGCGGCGGGAGCTATTTGGCTGTCCCAGTGAAACAGACCACAACAGCGAGAACGTAGGTGCAACTGCTTCTGTGTTTCTGGGTAAAGCCTGATATAAAGGTATGAAGTCGGGGGGGGGGGGGGGGGGGAACTAGCAGACAGTGATGTAAGGGTTAGTGTCACACTTGAGTAGAAGAAGAACTATAATGGACTTTTCATTATGGAGAACTTTCTAACTTGGTAATGTTTGGGTTGTTAAATGTCAGATCTTCTTCTTCCTGACTTGATTTCATACTTTCTAATTAGATATTTCTTTGATAATTCTTTGTTAGGTCCTGTGTTGCATTAAATAAAACATGTCCTTCACAATAGAACAATAAGTCGAGGAGGTGGGCTTGATGTGATTCACAGAGATTAAGATCATATTAAATGAACCACACTCCAATGAAACTCTTTAATTAACTTCTCCTCATTTGAACCACTTTGTTTCATGACAAATGAAAGGCCCCTCTAAGTTGTGTTCTCTTCTACAGACCTCCTAAACTTCAGAGTATTTCTCTGATCTGTTAACTTTTCTTACGCCTTGCTTTGATAGAATCTTGGTTTTAGGGTGATCTTAACATACAGTAAATGTAAGAATCCCCTTTGGTCTCTTTTTTAATACGGATTTCAAAGACCTGATGAGATGTATACATCTTACTGAGTTAGATGAGGGTCCTGCTCAAGAGACACACCCGGGATCTTGCTCTCTCCTCTGGTGGATACACTTGAAAGTCTTAATCTCTCTGAAGCTAGCTTCTGTCTTTCTGTCTAAAAAGCTTATATTTCCAAGGCCATCCTTCCACCTCTTTCTCTCAGAGTGTATGATTCTTGAGTATCAAGTGATTGGTCTACCTGCCTATTCATCATCTTTTATTTAAAGAGACTCTTGGTCCATTATTACAAAAACATACAACACTCAAATATAAATTAAAAAAGGCAGTTATACCAATGTTTCCACAGAGGTGACTGGTATCGTACAGCACTGAAACACGGATTTGACAGCAGCATAATGACAGAGTTATGAGAAACATTCAATCGACAGATGAATTTGTACATTCGATTTCTCAAAAGAGCATGGAACGTGTTGACTCGTGCGTTACAGAACATTTCACTTGCACTGCACCACCTTGGTTTTCTAAGCAGTATACGCAAACAGTCATTATATGCAACCTGGAGCTTCTTGAGGCTTGCCTTCTTATACTTGACCCACAAGGGGGCAGTATAGAGAGGAGTGCAATAAGCTCTAAAGAGGTTCACCTTAACCTTATCTGAACACCAAGAGAGTTTTCTAGCCAACATGTTGGCTTGCATATATAAGACACGCCGCTGTCTATACATGTCATCATCATCAGCCATTTCATCTGTGATGATGTGTCCCAGATACTTATTGATACAGATACAGATACTATTGATCTACCAAACGGTCCATTGAATTACCTGTCCTCCTGGTGAAATCAGTTTGTCTGGCTGTTGTTCTTTCGGCTCCTCAGTGGTGGTGCTGTAAGAACAGCTGGCTCTGTGGAGTGCTATAGAGTGTCAGTCAGAGCGGGTGTGGACCGAACAGATGGTGCTACCGTAACACATACACAACACTGACATATTCCAACTGGTGTTGGGTTACTTTAAACATATCTACATGAGGGATGATGTTGACATACAATCCTTTATATAACGGCTCCTCCGGTCCCTTCACTAACAACCAGGCTGCCCAAATCTGCCTTCACACACTGGTGTTTGCCTACCGATCTTCTTACAGTCAAGACAAACCATACACTCAAGCATTTGGAATTCGCTCTGCATCGGCCAATCAGCTCGTACTTCCTCACTGTGAGTGGGACCCAGGTTCCCCTCAACAAGAACACAGCTGTTTTCTACGGAACGGTGGAATGAGCTTAAATCTGCTATAAGTCTACCCGTGTTCCCCTCACTTAGACCTAACACAAAAAACATTCAACTCATAACATTTGAAAAGCTCATTTGAAACAAAAGCAGCAGCCCTTTCAAAGGTTTTGGCCTTTTTGAAGCAGATGTATTTGAGTGTGTATCTTCACAGTTTATGGATAATATATATGGAGTCCGTTAAATGAAATGTAGTGTAATACCTGATAGTAACAAAATGGATATCTTTAATAGAGAATTAAGAAAAGTGTCTTCATTTATAAACCACATTTAGTAAAATCAGATCCGAATCAGATGAGATTATATGACCTTTATTTCGTCCCACATAGGGGAAATGTACATTTGTACAAGATGGAGACAAAAAAATAAAACAGTATTAGAAAGGGCATGCACATCATATTTACACAGACACGTTGTCCAGCAGGGAGGACAGCTTGGTTCCAAGTCAAGAATACAATGATACACAAAAACATGGAACAGAACCATTCAGAACAGGTTCCAACACTTAGACTGTAAACTTGATTGGACCACATGTTGTAAACCTGGTCATGTGGAGCTCACTGAGATAATACTACCCAGCATACTGTCAGGACTCTGTCTTATCGTACAGACTGTTATTCCACAGCGTGTTAGCTTCTAACCTGCTGAAGGTCACTCTGGTCAGAAGTGTTTCCAGGACCAGCCTCTATGGGACCAGCCCTAGAATAATTCAAGTGGCAGCTCTGCGGTCACTTAATCAAATTATAATTTCCCATCAGGGTATGCAAGAAAAAAAAATTCCCCAACCCACACTTCTAATGTGTCCTTAACTCAGGAAATACTTTGTTCGCTCAATTTTTCAGAGGTTTGTCAGTGATTTAAATCCCATTAAAGTGATGATTAGACTAATGAAGTCACTGAGGGGTTGGCTCCAGCAGCACACTGCAGCCCGGGCTCCTTCAGGGCCACAGCGTCACTCCAGTCCAATAATAACACCCTTCAAAGCAGGGCCACACAGGAAGCGGCAGGCCATTAGCAACCACTCTGCTTTTGTTTGTTTGGACTTAAATTATTGAGAAAGTTACCAACACCTGAATGCTGACATCCATTCATACGTTGGTTGACGTGTTGCCTCATCAACCATTTTACAGTATTCACACAGAAGCAGAAGGCTCCTGCCAATCCTCTATGTCCATTTGACCAAAGAAAACAAACAAGAGCTAATCAGGGATACATTATTGGAACTGCATTTATTTGTAATGAATTGTAACAGCTTGTTGCTAAATGGATTTATATGGGATTAGAGGCCTGAGTCTGGACAGACTGGGACACAGAACAGCCCTCAAAATGTAATCCTAAAGCTCCAGCCTAACCCCCCCCCCCCCCCCCCGAAGGTTCAGTACACATGCAGACATGGACACTGAAGTTCTACTAGTGGCAAATAGTTGTTTATTCAAATGCCTAAGTACGATGCAGGGTTATATTTACCTGACAAAGCCCTCTGGTGGCATTATGACTCAGGGGCAAAGGCTGGACTAATATGATGTTGTTATGAACACCGTGGAGGGCGGTGGGGGATGGGCGTGATGGATGGGTTTAGCAAGCATGTGACACAGGAGCCCACGCTCTGTTTGTTGTTACCATAGACTGTATATATAAATGGACGTAGTGTCCGTAACGTCACCCATAGGATTCTGCAGAGTTGCCGTGAAGCCCTTAGTAGGCGGAGTCGGCCACTAACGGCTCGACTGTGACGTCAGAGTCTAATCCCGCCCGCTCCAAATAAGGGCAAAGAGGCGGAACCGAGGCGGGACCTGCTGCCTCCGAACTGGAAGTAAACAGAGCTAGCTCAGGCTAAGAAGCTAAGCTAACATGAAATACATGCATACCAAGTTATTGCTAACAGTGTAGTTCCCCTATATAAACGTTACATTCATAATCAAATGAGACAATCTGTAAGAGAATTAGCTATATTTTGTTATTCTTAATGCTTGTCATTCACACGTTGAGAAAAGACGGACTCCACCGCCCGAACCTAATGGAGCCGCAGTGGGCTAGCTCCGGGACGCCGGCTGGAGCTAACCCCCTGCGGCTCCGTTAGCTCCGGCGGCCACCACTGGGATAATCGGGTCCCCTATTAACATTTGCTCCCGTTTAGCATTATGGGCGTCATAGCCATAGACTATAAAAGTCTTACCCAAGGCTGAATCATAAACTAAAATGTATATGTATGCATAAAGGGTTATGTCCTTAGCTGGCTAATAAGTAACAAGCTAAGCTACCAAGCACACAAAGACCTGCGAACGGGGTTAACATGTATAATATTATCATTTTAGACTTCTTGGAAGTTATGTTAGTACATTCAATTCAGACATTGTAATTGTCTGGTATTTGTAACAATATTCCCTAAAAGGCACAATCACCACGAACACGGCTAAAGCTAAAGGGTCAAGTACAGTACTATGACTAACTAACGTTGTAGCCCCTATGGTTGTAGCCTAGCAGAGTGGACAAGTTGCTGTTAGCTGACAGTGAGGCATGTACGTGTCCATCAAAGTGACCACGCCCTAATTTATGCAAAAACTTCAAGACCTAATATAAATAAAAGGGTCATGTTAGAAAACAATTCACTCACAGATTCATAATCATGAAGGTGGAATCTAACTATATCGATAATAATATTTATTGCATCCATGGGTAGAAACATGTTTTTTTCTGCTGTAAAGTTGGGCATTTTAACATAGGGGTCTATGGAAATTGCTCCTTTCTGCAGCCAGTCCCTAGCGGCCCATGTATGAACTGCAGTGTGTGGCACTTCCGTATTGGCGTCCCGGCTGTTTCCCAGAGTTTGCCGCTTGGTTGTTAACCACCAACAGTCATTTTGCTTTTAGTTTTTAACCATGACAACAAAGGTTCTCAAACCTTCAAAGGTGAGACCAAAACTTGACCTTGTAAACAGAATTTGATGAGATAAACTCACTTTAATGTCCTTTAGGTAGCTTTTTCTGGAGCTCTTGATTATATCGCATGATATCCATTGGAATGTTTGAGATGGAACTCTTGTTGTCGTGTTAATAATATCCTACTTTTACATTTTGTTAGCTGTAATTTGGCCCTTCATAGTGTTTATTTGACAGATTGTTTTCATGGTCCACTTGTTTATATTTGAAAATGTTTAGTTCTGTTTTATTTTCTATTTTGTGTATTATATATTTTTTAGGGCTGTCAAGTTAATTTATTTTAACGCGATTAACGCATGTGTATTTTTTTTCCTCGGCCGCCCCGTAGTTTCAGAGCGCATCGAGTTTAAAATACCATCTACAAGCTGATGCTGACAGCCCCGCTCCTGCCGCCCGCTTGTGGCAGACCACACTTCCACGCTCACCGGCAGGCACCGACTGGCTGTTGGGAGGACCGGGAGGGTGTGTGTATGTGTGGCCCGAGCGAGCGAGAGAGAGACCTTACGTGCATTGTTGTTGTTAGCATCTGGTGCTAGCTAGCTGCGCTAACGGATATGGAGCTGTTTAAATGAAAACAGAGGAGCGACATTTCGCCACAACTGCGCCGAGCACTTGACTTTATGCAGGAAGCCAGACAGTGGGGCATTGTACGAAAAGTCAGCACACTCAGCACGGATAGTGCGCAACATGATTGCAGCGTCCAGGCAGCTCCCGTTCGAGCATATGCCTTGAGTTGCACATAGCTCCAACGATCCATCACACACACACACACACACACACACACACACACACGCACGCACGCACACCATTTGTATTGTATTATTATGGGCATAGATATGTCTCATAATTATTTGTGTGAACATAAAAATAATTTGTGTGTAAATATGTGATTTGTAAATGTAAAACAACATCCACAAATGCATTTAAAAGATTAGCAAACTCACAAATACATTTGCAAGTGTAAAACGGATCGGACCTTTCGATCAGGCATTTGTGAATCCATTTTGTATTTGTGGACCAAAAATGCGCTTGCGGATCTCAAATCTCTGTTCACGGATCTCAAATCTCTGTTCGCGGATCGTCTTTTTACACACACGGAATTTTGAGACATATTTTCCGCCGGTCTCGGATAAAATCTACTCGTGTCACTCGGTTATTTTCGGAAACCACGTGATGGCCCGCTGATGGCGACATTTCCGCATGATTTCAAAGTAAGAGCATGATGGTTTGTTTAATGCTCTGTTTTTGTATTATAATGAACAGCGGAACGTTAGATGTATTCTTCATCACCATCACCCTGACCTAAATACGGTGCTTTTCTACAGATTACTTTATTACTGCACTGGTAAGGTCAAATTAGGCCGATTAATAAGATGTGAAGTGCTTTGTAACTTCGACCCGCTTGACTGAATACACAACAAACAATGAAGAAAGAGTTTTATCTGGGCTGTTTCACTGCCAGCTGCTCCCCCGGGACCCGAAAGTGGCGTATAGCCTGCACTTCAACATCAACGAAAGTGCTCGATATATGCTATATTGAACCAATAACACAAACTAACTGTATCACTATAACATGATGATGGTGATGGTGATGAAGAATGCATCTAACGTTCCGCTGTTCATTATAATACAAAAACAGAGCATTAAACAAACCATCATGCTCTTACTTTGAAATCATGTGGAAATGTCTTCATCAGCAGGCCATCACGTGGTTTCCGAAAATAACCGAGTGACACGAGTAGATTTTAGCCGAGACCGGCGGAAAATATGTCTCAAAATTCCGTGTGTGTAAAAAGACGAACCGCGAACAGAGATTTGAGATCCGTGAACAGAGATTTGAGATCCGCAAGCGCATTTTTGGTCCACAAATACAAAATGTATTCACAAATGCCTGATCGAAAGGTGTAAATGTGATATAAAAAAAGAGATATTCACAGATCTTTTTTTATTTGTGAAAATATTTAGCGTATTTGCAGATCCGTTTTACACTTGCAAATGTATTTGTGAGTTTGCAAATCTTTTAAATGCATTTGTGGATGTTGTTTTACATTTACAAATCACATATTTACACACAAATTATTTGTATGTTCACACAAATAATTATGAGACATATCTATGCCCTTATATTATTGTATGAGAGAGGTTCCAGGTTGAATTGAGGCGAATATTTGTAATGTTCAGAGGTTGTTGTGTTTAATATTCATGAGAATATTTGTCATTGTTCAAATGATAATAAACATTAGCATAAAGCATATTTGTCCACTCATATGTTGATAAGAGTATTAAAAACTTGAAAAATATTTCTCTAAGGTACATTTAGAACAGATAAAAAATGTGCGATTAATCGCGATTAAATATTTTTAATTGACTGACAGCCCTAATATTTTTATGTTTGTTTATTTTTCTACCCTTATTATTTTTCAAATTATGTGCAAGGCCTTGTTTTAACATGCTGCTGTGACGGGAAAAAAATCCCATTTGGGATCAATACAAAATATCTTATCTTCATTGTTCTGAACCCTAAACCTGGCAACGTTTAGTAAGACTGTTAAGTGATTTACAATCTGTCTGACCTCAACCTGTATAATCACTGTGGTACAATGATACCGTTACTTAGGATCACCTTTAGTAGTAAACCTTCTTTCCCTAAAGTGACCCTCTCCTCCCTCCCTGCAGCTTCAGAAGACTCTGTCAGAGCTGGACGAAGATGACCCTTGCTACGAGTTTCGTCGAGAGCGATTCACCGTCCACCGAACGCACCTCTACTTCCTCCACTACGAGCACGAGCCCAGCCCCGACAACACCGACGTCACTCTGGTCGCCCAGCTCTCGATGGACAGGTACTTTTGGTAACACTGCACTGAACTACTTTGTTTTTTTAATCGAGAGAAAACATTCAAATGGAAATAAACTGCAAAAAAGTATTTAGGATACCTCTACTTAGTGATGTAGTGATATTGATACCCTCTCTGTGACCCGCCCCCTGCAGGTTGCAGATGCTGGAGGCCATCTGTAAGCACTGGGAGGGGCCCATCAGCCTGGCCCTCTACCTGTCGGACGCTGAGGCCCAGCAGTTCCTGCGCTACGCTCAGGGCTCCGAGGTGCTGATGAGCCGCGGGAATGTGGGGTACCACATCGTCTACAAGGAGGGACAGTTCTATCCGGTCAACCTGCTGCGTAACGTGGCCATGCGGCATGTCAACACGCCTTACATGTTCCTGTCAGATATCGACTTCCTGCCCATGTACGGCCTGTACGAGTACCTCAGGTAAGAGGAGCCAAACTGAAACCGCTAGTGACCCTTACACTTGGCTTGATGTTTCTTCAGACCAAGAAACGCAATTTTTATCCCATTTTGTTAGATGTTGCAAATGTATGTAATCCTGTATTCTCACTTTGTATTTAAAGGAAGTCAGTAGTGCAGCTTGACATGGCCAACGCCAAGAAAGCTCTGGTGGTTCCCGCCTTTGAGACGCTGCGATATCGTCTGTCTTACCCAAAGTCCAAGGCTGAGCTGCTCTCTCAGCTGGACATGGGCACTCTCTTCACCTTCAGGTAAACAGCTCGTACTCATTTATTTTGTGGTGATATACAACATTAAAAAAAGTTCAATGAACATGCACTGCGTGTTTGTCAATAGTCACTGAGGGTTTTTGAGTTCGGAACGCTGCTGGAATATAGCGCTTGCAAAATACATTTTCTTTAACTCCTAGCGTTAGCTTTAGCCTAGTACTGGTGACTAACAGGCTATTACGTCACATCATAATTATCTTTGAAATCGTCCTACTCAATGATCAGCAAGAAGCACTACAATTTGTATCCTACATATAGATAGTATAGTTTTTCTTTGTTCATTCATATAGGAGTAGAACGCTCTGTTTCTCTGAACAACCAGCTAGCTTACATTTTCTTAAATTCCTAGCTTAGCTTCAGCATACCTAATCATCTCCTACGATATCATCCCTAATGATAAGCAAAAGGCTCTACTTTTTAATATTATACATATAAAGAAGATTGAATTCAATGCAGAAATAAACCGCCCTCTTTCTTCGAACAACGCTCATCGTGCATTTCGTGAAGATTGGATGAACAAATGCACCCGTAGATAATTTGCTGTGTCATTTGAGACTGAATCAGGATCTGGATATATAACTGAGGGGGTCTGGCGAGAGAAGGGGGTCCGGCTGTCTGCAGGTTGGATTCAGAGAGGACAGGAGAACAGTGGTCAGCAAAGACATCAGTATCAATACACTCATTACCAGGGACAAAGGGCCATTTGTAACATTAAAGCCACTGGAAACTCTCCCGGCTGGTGTTTAAATGTGAGAGGGGAGGGGCTCCATTTTCTGCTTCATCAGCGCTTTGCTCTAACTATACATCTCAATTAAAAACAGCTGTCATCATTACAGTAACAGGCACAATATGTTGGTAAGGGAAGGAAGAGGGTAATTATGTGTTCCCACTGTGTGCAGTCCATTCAGTCACACTTACTCTGCTCCTAGAATAGTCTGTAAATATATGTTATTATTTTATCTAGTTAGTGAAGAAAAAAGTGTCCTGATGCCACAAAGACTTTGCATTAAGTCTACAGTGTTAGGTAGACAAACTCTGTAAAAAAACATCCAGACTTTTCAAACCTTCTATGATTGAGTTTCAATATCAAAATGCCACCTAATTTATTAATAACTATCTATCTATTTGATAGTTTGTTGTTTTTATTTATTGAAATACACAAACCTAACAGATAACAGATGATATACAGAGCAAGAAGAGGCAGAAAACCCACTTGCCTCCACCTAAATAATGGTAAAATTCACAACTTTATTGAAAACACAAGATCAATAAATTCAATAGTGACATCAAAGTATTAAAACTAGGGCTGTCAAGTTAACGCGTTAACGCAAAAAAAAAATGAACGCCACTAATTATTTTAACGCGATTAACGCATGTGTATTTTTTTCCTCGGCCGCCCCGTAGTTTCAGAGCGCATCGAGTTTAAAATACCATCTACAAGCTGATGCTGACAGCCCCGCTCCTGCCGCCCGCTTGTGGCAGACCACACTTCCACGCTCACCGGCAGGCACCGACTGGCCATCTGGAGGACCGGGAGGGTGTGTGTATGTGTGGCCCGAGCGAGCGAGAGAGAGACCTTACGTGTGTTGTTGTTGTTAGCATCTGGTGCTAGCTAGCTGCGCTAACGGATATAAGGAGCTGTTGAAATGAAAACAGAGGAGCGACATTTCGCCACAACTGCGCCGAGCACTTGACTTTATGCAGGAAGCCAGACAGTGGGACATTGTACGAAAAGTCAGCACACTCAGCACGGATAGTGCGCGTAACATGATTGCAGCATCCAGGCAGCTCCCGTTCGAGCATATGCCTTGCACATAGCTCCAACGAACACACACACACACACACACACACACTTTGTATTGTATTATTGAATGAGAGAGGTTCCAGGTTGAATTGAGGCGAATATTTGTAATGCAGAGGTTGTTGTGTTTAATATTCATGAGAATATTTGTCATTGTTCAAATGATAATAAACATTAGCATAAAGCATATTTGTCCACTCATATGTTGATAAGAGTATTAAAAACTTGAAAAATATTCCTCTAAGGTATATTTAGAACAGATAAAAAATGTGCGATTAATTTGCGATTAACTATGGACAATCATGCGATTAAATATTTTAATCGACTGACAGCCCTAATTAAAACATATAATAAAAAGAGACAAAAACAACTATACATCTTACTTCTTCTCTGAAAGCATATTTGACACTCCCTCGAACTTAGTTTTTCTTTCCTCCTCCTCCTCCAGGTACCATGTGTGGACTAAAGGCCACGCACCAACCAACTTTGCCAAATGGCGGACAGCCACCACGCCCTACAGAGTGCAGTGGGAGTCGGACTTTGAGCCGTACGTCATGGTGAGGAGGGACAGCCCGGAGTACGACCGCCGCTTCGTCGGCTTCGGCTGGAACAAGGTGGCTCACATCATGGAGCTGGACGCACAGGTACGAGACCCAACGCTCACTTTCTGTCTGATTAATGTCTCAGATTGTCTCAATGCTTTATAAATTAATTAAAGTATTAGTTAAAATATCTTAAAATAAGAAATCAGTTCTGTGGTTCATACATGGATATCGTCGTACCATTCCTCACGCCCGCATCATTTTCCGTGAAACCGACCGTGAGCGACAGATGTGAATCATGGAAGTTATTACTTTCAACACTATGTTAAACCAAAAGGTGAACCACTAAGAAAGTCAACATTTCACGATGTTGGGTGGTGTTTAGTTTTCATTTTCCTTTTTCTAATTGGAATTTAAACCTTGGTAATCAAGAAAAAAGTCATTTAATTTATCCACATTTTTATGGCAACATGATTAGAACACACAGGGCAAAATATTTTTGATCTGCTCCTGTAGTCCATCTACGGAAAAATGTAGTTTTTCCAAAGCGGACGCACATCATGGCGCATATAATGACAAGTCCAAGTGTCTTTTCCTAAATAAAGATGAATTCTCCTTCACGTCTTTCCTTAACCCCATGACGTTCTCACTGAAGTTAAGGACAAATTGTTAGAAAAATACATGATTTTTTTTTGGACAACATTTCACATTTGTAGCGATCAGCCGCCCACACTGAAACTCCTCTTCTCTCTCTTCACAGGAGTATGAGTTTGTGGTTCTGCCCAACGCCTACATGATCCACATGCCTCACGCGCCCAGCTTCGACATCACCAAGTTCCGCTCCAACAAGCAGTACCGGGTCTGCCTGAAGACCCTGAAGGAGGAGTTCCAGCAGAACATGTCACGGCGCTACGGCTTCGCTGCCCTCAAATACATGACGGCTGAGAACAACAGCTAGCCACCACTGCAGACCCTCACCCCCCCGGGCCTGAACTATTGACACATGGGCTGGGGGGGGGTGGGTTACTTTGAGACTTCCCTCAGACTTTGTTCGAATGTTTGACCCTCAGTGTGGGACTGCATGGGTCTTTATGTTCTCTCTTTGTCCTGTGGATGGAAGGAGGGGATTCACTTCTGCCAGGATGGAGATGACGGGGGTCCGACTGTGTGAGCCATGGCCCTTAAATCTGACAGACAGGAACATTCGATGCCTTGTCATATTTGTAAGGCCAGTGACAGAGTTGTTGGCTGTGTGTAACATTATGTAAGCGTGTGTGCAAATGTGAGTGTGTGTACCATGCAGGTAGATGTTTCTGCAGGAGAGTGCTTAGCGAAAAGCTTAAGGAGAGATGATGAAGTGAAGCATTGTGGGCTTACAATCTGTGCGCACGCCTTTCAAGTGCCAACAAAAAGCAGCAGCTGTCTGACTGACAGCAAACCCCCGACTCAAATGCAAATCGTCACCAGGCGGCGAGATAAGACAAAGCGTTTCCGTGTCCACATAGATTTTGAAAATCTCATTGTGACGAGTGACACACACTCCGATATCGAGGCGAGCAGCCAGCCGCTGCTTAATTTGTTTCCTAGCTGATGCATATCAGAATAAATCCTTCTCCTCGTATGACAACGGAAGTTAAGTGCAGAGCTGGAGGTTGATATTCAGGGTGTCTCCACATCAGCGAGTTGCTACAGAATGTTTCCCCGTGTTCATTTACGATACACAATCTGACAGCAGCCGGTCGGCGTGGGTTTCTTTTTTATTTGTGGATTTTAAATGGATGTCGGTGCGGTCTGCACAAACACCTGCTGGAAGGCCTGTCCGTTTGTGACTCCCCAACACACACAGTATTCATTTTTTACTTTTCTTTCCAACCATCAGTGTTATTTATCAGTGTGTTTACAGTCCTGACGGGTGGAGCAGGAGGCGTTATTGTCTCCTGATCTGAAAGGAAATTTGAAAACTGAAAAAAAGCTATTTTTCTCTCACTCTTTCTTTCTCACTCTGGCCTCTAGTTTGACGACATTATCGTGGCGCCCAGTAACGCTGCAGTGGTGTGTGTTGTCACACACCATCAGGCTAGGTGTGGTGATCCTGATTTGTTGTGGATATTCTGTTCAGCTGTTACAACCAAGAAAATCATATCTCTCCCAGATAATGAAGACAGACATTCACTGTAGCATTATACTCATTATATATGATAAACATATCATAACACTGGTCTTGGGTACATGCATTAAGACGCATGTTACTATATGATAAGGTCAATTGAAACTAAAGTTTGAATAGACTACAGATAATCGAGAAATATGACCTCAAAGAATGTAAACTAGGTTAATATCAGTGATATTAAATATAATGATATGGAGGTTAAAAAGGGATTGAAAATCACAAAACGGTTGCAATATGTCCCGGTTTTCCAAGATACATTTAAATCAGAACTGTTTACTCCAATCCACAGGGTGGTGCTAATCAGACCCGGCGCCAGAACAAATGTACAGAGAGGGCATATGATTTTCATGGGAGGGCACACAAAACCGCCATGTGCCGCGGCCAGTGTCGACGCCAGAGATTTTCTTTTGGGGGTGCTGTGGGGTAGCTTGACGTTTCATAGAGGGTGCTCAAACATGTAGGGTTTCCCATTAATGTAGCTATGGGCTACAGTGGAATGTTCTACTGCAACACTCCCCACACGCACACACACAGAGCACACCTGCAACTGTTACAATGAAGGCTCGATAATCAGCTCACGGCATATAGGTGTAAGCTGGAGTAAAGTGCTACTTTCTTTTAAGTGGGGGGCGGACCTAACCTCCTCTAGGGGGGTCCGGGGGCATGCTCTCCCGGGAAGATTTGTTTTTTATATTGAAGTTAAAAGCATCAATCTGGTGCACTTTGAGAGCAAAATGGATACATCTCTCAACACCCATATGAAACAGAACTGTAAACAGATTTACTTTTTCTTTATGAATATTTTACAAATCACTCCCCTTTTAAATTGTATTCTTGTTTTACTGTCATAGAATTTCATACCTGTTTTTCATTTATTACTCTTATATTACTATCTGACATCACATACATCGTAGCATTAAAGTTCACAATTTATTTATAATTAGATACATTTTAATTATTTTTATAAATAATAAAAAACGTGTTTATTGGGGGAGGGCAGGAATGTCATGTCCCTCCCACGGCGCTGGGTCTGGTGCTAATACACATGAAGCTCTATTGAAACACCAGAAGAAGAAGAGAAACGTCTGAAGTTTAGTTACACCAAACATATTAGTCATTATTAAACACTAACTCCTTAATGAATTGCATTTATGGACAACGATCAAGAGTTACGTTGTATACCCTGTACGGGCTCTCTCACACTTTACCACACAGATCATTATTTAGTTAAACTGATCAGGGATCAGATAACCACTGCAACAGGTCACTGTCTATAACCATGTGTGTAGACATCGCTGGAGCTGGTTCCTTCCTTTCACTTTCATGTGATTGGAGGAAAACTGATCATTTAAATGTGACCTCAGCTGCCATTCTCACTGAGAGTAAATAAATAAGTAATGAACGTAGACGGACAGTAGAGTATTTACTATTTACACCTTTTCAAAAAAGGACTATATGCGTCTCAAAAAGGTATTCACTTCAGTCACGCATCTCCTGCCACCATCTCAGGCTCGATACATAAATTCAATAAAAGAAGAAAATCACACAGATGATGTAATACAAAGGAACTATGAGGATTACCCTGTGGATTTTAACGATTGTTTTGTCAAAGTGCTATTTCCAAGGTCTAGAATAAGCTCTTATTCTCAGCAGGAGCTTGCATGTCGACAACATAATGTGTGTTGTGATGGAAAAAGTGGACTTTGAGTTGGAATTTTATTTTCTATTTTACTACAGGTTAAGGCAATTGGTTGTTTATTCCAGCTGCTGGGAAATTGTAGTACGTTTAATACAATACTTGAGAAACACACATATTTGTCGGAGACATTTCCTTATTTTTAAGATTGTACCATCGTTAAACTAGAGGCCTGTTTTTCTCTCCGTCTGTCTCTGTGCAGTCCTCTGTGTGTGTGTGTGTGTGTGTGTGTGTGTGTGTGTGTGTGTGTGTGTGTGTGTGTGTGTGTGTGTGTGTGTGTGTGTGTGTGTGTGTGTGTGTGTGTGGTGTGTGTGTGTGTGTGGCTTTGCAGGGCTGGGAGGAACTGCATTGTTTAAAGTAGGACAGTGCTGACTGATGCTGCTCCCTGAATAAAAAGTAAAGAGTCAAACGTTGCTGTTACCGTGTTTCATCATTTCCCTCTTCAAACGTGTTGTTTTAGCTTTGTGAACCCAAAGGAACACTCACTGTCACACACAGAGTAGACAGTGTGTGTCTATACTTTCAGGAACACACAACAGTTTACCACCTTTCTGAGATAAAGGGCCACTATGTTCATGTGTCAGCGTCAGTTTACTCAACAAAGAGCCAATAAAAACCGTTTTTGTGTCTCTGGAAAAGCTTTGTCAAGTCAGCCAATGAGCTGTAAGAACGTTTAGGGTCCCTATTAGCATGTTAGCATATACAGTAGCACGCAACTACCAAAAATGAGTAGCATGTAGATGAGCAAAGCCACAAAAAAATACAAGACATAAGGTTCCCAGTTCTATACACTTCCTATTTTCACTAATGAAATTATCTAGATATTTCCTGGTAGAGCTGACAGTGAGAACGATCATTGTAAACAGAGCAAAATAACCCCAAAGTTGAATGCAAGAAAATGCGTATATTTACAGGGGGATAGAAACGCCACCAATACATATTGAGAACAAATGTCCCATAAAAGGCCTTGGGATGAATATATCCCAATCTGATTTGTACTATCTTGGCCAATTGTTGTCTTACCAAATCATACATTTGGACAGATCCTTTTAATGTGTATAATTTAATTGGAACCTCTAGCAATGAATATGTAAATGAAGCCATATAGAACCCTTTGAGAGGTTAATGTATCCTTATGATCATACATTTGTATTTGATGTAACCCTAACCGAAATATCCCACCACAACAAACTTGGGGCATCATCTTTAGATGTATGGACAAAAGCATCTGCCAAATAAATAAAAGTAATTATATAAAAATGATTTGTCGTAGTGAAAGAGACTTTAAAAGTAAACTATACAACTAGAAGTGAACATTTCTACTACTTTTTGATTAGTTTTTTGAAAAGAGTATTTTCTCAGTTCATACAGTTGTATCTTTAACCTGTGGTCCTGCTGTTGGGTTGTTTGACGCTGAGGGGACGGTGGGCTGACCTCCCTCCAGATGAAATGAGAGCAGGAGAGTGGAGCACCCAGTTTATCGGCTCCCTAGAGTCTGCCGTCCCTTCATTTCTCTTTAATGACGGTCTCACGACACCATTTATCTTATCGCTCAGGCTATTAAAAGTTTTAGTGGAGCTGCTCATTAATTCAATTTAAAATTGAATGCATGAATTTCAGCTGACTTTTTAGACCGTAAATTCAGAGGATTGGATGAAGTTAGCCTTGCAGTGCAGGGCAGGGTGTACCGTGGCCCTGAAGTGCAGAACACAACGGAATAACAGAAAAGACAACAAAAGAGGAACAACTTCTTTCAAGGTTTAGCAAATTGCTATTGGGTTTTTATAATTTGTTGTTCTGTCCTCTGTTTTATTGCTTTTATGCCACTTTTGAGGGTGTAGCTTCACCTGCAGCGGTGTTTGTTAAGCAGAACAACATCAAAGTTAGCTTGTCCTTTCAAAAATAAAACCTACATATAAGGTCATATTTCTGGCACAAGCCACGACAGTCCCAGCACCTGATGTGTGTTAACCAGGAATTAGGAAATAGTTCCATGATGTTTTTTTATACTAAATAGTAACAAAAGCACGCTATCACAGTGGCAATGTTTTTGAAGAAATTAAAGTTTTGTCCTGATGATTGGTGCTAGATGAAATGTCAGAGAATCACTCATTTTATTACATTTTTATCCTGAGGGATCCATCAATGTCCAAACCAAATGTTATGGCAATCAATATAAGTGTTGTTTAGTCTTCATTTAGGTGGAGGACTCACCAATCGGCCAAAAGCAAAGCTGCTGGCATGGCCAAAAAGTTATTGTAAATCACACTCCTCATCCTTTGAAGGACTATAATTCAAATGTAGTTTTTTTTTTTTGCCAAAAGAGGAAGACATACAGGCAGTTACAGGGCGACTCGATATCAGGACAGCAGAACGCTTACAAACCTTCCGGCGCAGACTGAAAACTCATCTCTTTCGACTCCACTTCGAGCGAGAACTATTAACAAAGCACTTATGGGCTGGCTTATCTAAAGCCAGTTGAGTAGCACTTGAAATGTTTTTGCTCTATGAAGCCTGATGTACTTATATGATTCTGTTTTCTTCAAGTTTGTATTTTGTTGGTCGAACGCACTTATTGTAAGTCGCTTTGGATAAAAGCGTCAGCTAAATGCAATGTAATGTAATGTAATATCTGTGAGTCCATTTAGAAAGGAGACATGAAAAGAAGTGAGAGAATTAAGTCTCCACGCAGTTTTTACGACATTTACTTTTTTTTTTTAAAGGAGGCTTGTAACACTATAAAACCCATCATTCCAAAATGGTAAACTGATCATTAATACCCTTGTGTTAATAGTAAATCAATACTGCTTTTGATGCTATATTGTGTGCAACTAAAATATATGTTGATGGTTTTGCAAACCTTTTAGATAATATAACATTTATAAACATTACATAGGGCCAGAGACCAACTATCAACCATTAACAAATGATTAACTATGTGTTTATAGAGGCTTATAATAGCCAACCAAATAATGTTTGTAGAACGTTTACAAACTAACCACTATTAACAAAGTGTCCATCCATCTTATCGTCTGGTTCTCTTAAGTTTGGTTTTATGGTGAATCATGGTTCTATGCTGACACCTAGTGGTCATCTTTTTTGGCCTCTATCCTTTCAGAAGGTTTTAAATTGATCTCACAGTACAACAATATTTAAGAATAAACCACTTTAATAATGTCTATTAGTTCAAACTGTGTCGTATAAACTTTTGGGACAGTGGTAAAAAGCACATCATGGTGTCAATGCTGCAGCAGATTAAATGCCAAAACGACAGCCTATGTCAAAAGTTCCCACAAGTGTCCTCTCTTGTAAATTGTTGATTAACAGATTATGTGGGTCATCCTCCCTAATCCTATCCTTATAACCTGAATTTAAAACGCTTCCTGAAGACCATTTTAGATGTTTTGGTTTGATATTGTATAAAATAATATTTACTCAAGGTCATTTACCATCGCCATCAGAGCTAGTATTACCTTAAAGGTCACCTATTGTGCAAAATCCACTTGTTCATGTCTTTTCTACATCAACATGTAGAGGGGGCGTGGGGAGTGGCTCCTTATTTTCATCTAAAGTAACAGACAGAGAATCAGCACTTTTGAAAAAGGGCTGGAACAGAGGGGATTATGGGATGCTGAAATGATCTGTTTGGTATTTGGAGCCAAACACTTCAGAGACAGTATAATAGGGGACCTTTAAAGTAAAGATTGTCTGATGGATTTATTCAAACTTCTTTTTTTCCTGTGCTTTCAACCACATCTCAAGGTCTCCTTCAGGGGATGCAGGTCCAGTTTCATGGAGATTAGGTTAACATTGTGTCTGCTTCTCACCTGATGAGTGTATGCACGACCGTGACAGAGGCAGGCAACAGCGATGGAGAGCCCCCCCTCCACAGGGCCGAGCGCAGTCTCCTCACGTAGGACCTGATGGAGATTGTCTGCAATGGGTCGATTGAGGCGATCAATCACTGTCTGCAGACCTTCCTCATGCTAGCAGCAACAAGCACACAACCATTCCTCCGACATCACTTCCCCTGGGAGAACAAGATACTCATTTCCTCCTGCAGCCAAATGGTAATAACATAGAAATTCAGCTTCGACACATTCAAAAGTCACCACAACATGCCTGTTTTCAGACTTTGAGAAAATGCTTTGACATTTTTTTTATTTATTTGGAATTGTATGAAAAGTTTTCAGAGCGGCAGTTCTCTGTTACTGTTTTCATTATGACACCTGAGTCACAGTTTGAGGAACATGTATTCATTTCTGCCACTCGTGTAGAACTGGAGTAAGTGATGGAAATCTGAAATATTTGGACGTATGTCGCTGCCAGGAGGTAACATTACTGATATTCCTGAAATTCCCCAGAGTGCAAGGGTGTAGTTGTAACTACTTGTGATTGAAATTGGGCCTCCGCCTTCAGGGGAAATGTAGGGTTAAGAATCTTGCCTAAGGACACTTCAACATGCAGCACCTCATTCACACCAACGCAACTCCGGTTCAAGCTCCGTGCTAGAGCTTTTCAGGTTCAGAACCAGTTCTTCGGTTTAGCTCTGGCTCTTTTCACACCGCCCAGAGTCCGACTGGTAATGCGTCATTGCGTCATCGTTTGCGTCATGACGTAACCGTTTGCGTGCCTGCTTCATAAAGCCAAACCGCGCGGATGAAATCAGTTGCATTCATTTCTTATGGCTCTATCTGCAGCTTTTCCGGAGTCATTTCTGTGGTTTAGTTATATTCTATAAAAAAGTGTACTCGTGTCAATAAAGTTTTTTTTAAAACAACTGCTTCCGAGGTCGGTCTTATTTCTTAAGGTGGACTGAACCATGAGTGTGGAGTAACGTTGTATCTTTCATTTAAATGAACTGTAACCTTCACCCAGGTATGTAACAGCTGTTCTCAAATGAACACGTTGTGGTGACCACCTTTAATACACTGGGTTACATAATCCACACATGGAACTAGAGTTGGGGGTATTGTTTCCACACGGACATATATGTGGTTACCTTTATATGTTGTGTGCCCTCCTGGCTCTTTCTCTTGTCGTCCCGGGCTGCGACCCAACAACATCTACATTTCTGCTGCTCATTAAAGCAAGCTTTGTACCTCCATTGCACCGCCTCCGACTCCCTATCTCTCGGCACTACATTGGTGACCCCGACAGCGTCTTGGGAAGTTTCCGAGACGGACCCGAACACGGCAAAGGAAACCCAGGTTTCTTTCTCGAAATGCCGGGGATTTTTTGGAGTCGACCGTAGCTGCTACAGGCACGTGGACGGAGGCTCGGTGCGCGCCTCGTGGAATGGCTGAGGATGTTGCTCGCCATTCCCGCATCTGCCTTCCGACTACAGGGGGGACGATGCACGACCTGCTGGGTAGGGATGAACCCGATTGCTACCTCGTGGGGTTGTTTCTTC